TTCTCATCCCGGCTGGACTGCAGTCTCGACTTCGTATAGATCTTAGCATCACCTTGTACGAAATAGGGTGAATACAACTCTCGAAACTCTACTGAAATACGAAAGATAAGTAATGTAGTCGATTGTTATAGCAAATATACATTTGCTTCATCGACAACCCCACCAAATAATGTGCTATGAGAAAAGGCCTGGCCTTCCTTGAAATTCACATCTGCCCTGTGACCCAAGAGCACTCGTGGCATTGTGGTCGAGGGGTTAACGTGTCAAGCTCCCATTCTGTACTGTCACGGTTAGACTCCCGCTGGGGGTGTTGATAAGACCAATACGAGGTCGAAACTGCAGTCCACCCTCAATGAGAATAACTTATGGGAAAGCAAGGCTATGTTAAATTCAATGGAAACGTCAGCTCTACTCATATCATTGTGGGAAAATTCTTCTACCAGTTCTTCATCACCTTTAACGAAATTGGGTGAATACATCTCATACAAATATTTTTAATGTCTGTTAGTAACTGGCCTTTTCTCACCTTACTTTTATTAATAATGCCGATTAATAAATACTTGATTCATCATACTTAGTAGGTTGATTCAAATCTTGGGAAACAGTCGTCTCCCACTTTGCTGATTCTATCGAATAACCTGTTTCTGCTTCGATATCTTCTCATTTTTGCTTCGCACTAAAGGAATGCTTTATCCCATGCATTCTTCTTTATCTTTAAAACTCAATTTTACAATTATTTAATCCCTTCACTTGTCACTGCTTTTTCCGGCTTTTTCACACTTTCCTAAAGCTCCTTTTGGTATAATACGCATTCGCTTCTTGATGAGCAGATCTAATCACCACTCAATACCATAGTGGGAGCATTTAAAAGGTTTTTTTTCATTCTTTATGTTTTTTATAATTAACTTGGTCTAACTATAATTTTGGTATTTTTTGGGAAAAATGTATTGCGCTTTAAAGTTTTTTGGTTAATTGTAACCTGAATCTATGTGTTGGAACCACCAGAGTCTATTTTACTTCCCAATAATGAGCCAAATGCGCCGAAACTCCAAGCTCTGTTATTATCGAAGCGATTAATTACGCCGTGTTCCTTTTTGGCGGTAGGAGGGAACACAATTAGCCTGGTCTCACATCGACAGGAAATTTGCATCAAGACGCTGGGATGGATAGGAAAACTTGCCCTTGTCTGATCGAGTCATGCCTGCTGATGGATTATCGCAGTTATATGCTTTCCTCTTGCAAACAGAATTCCTCACTCATATTACGGTAACTTTTTAACCCACTAAAGCTCACATGGTCTCGTTAAAACTTCTTCTCTACTTAAAGCCTGCTTCGAGTATGAACTAGAATTATTTTATGACTGATAATAAATAGGAGCATCTTCAATTTTTAGAAATAATTATTGAGTTTAATTTACAAACAAGACAATGTTGGAGCTGGTCGGATTTGATTTTTTCAACTGACATCTCTTCATGCCTACATTTTATACAGTCACCTTATTTTATATATATTGCTAATAATTTGAATAGTAGTGTGGCGCCCATTATAATAATGAGAAATTACTGGACTCACAAGTAGTAGGATTTTAATCCTCGCTACATTTGCTTCTCTTGGTGGGTGCTCTGAGTGTACCTTCTACATGTCACTGGCACAAGCATACTCTCTTCCAAACAGTCAGTTTTGCAACGACCAACGCTCCCGCCTGATACTTAATCGCAACGCTATTGGAGTCTTTTTTGAGTCACTCATAATTTACCTAATTGATTATACTCCATTTTATTAGACTGCCTCTTATGACGCCTGGTACCAACTAACGGCATGTGTTTTTAGTTATGTCAAATGGGATTTCAAGAGTATCAATGGATTTAGGTGGTTCAAGATAATGAAAAACTGATAGTAAATTATCCAAACAACGAGATAAGTAAGCCCCTGGATGTAATTACATTTAACTTAGCCATGCCTTCAAGGAGGTATTCTAATCGGAGAAAGGGGGACTGCAGTTTTGACCTCATCTCGGTCTCATCGGCTCCTCTTCCGGGAGCCGAGACTGAATAATTCAGCGTATAATTCCGACATTCTACCACTACGCCAGATTGTCATGGGCATTCATTATTCACAGGGCAGAAGTGAATTTTAAGACATTTTGGGCCTCTCCCATATCACATTTTTATAGTGGGATTATCGCTAGGGCAAAAATATATTTTCCATTAGTCGACAACATTACTTGAATTCCGTTTCTTAATCTTAAGCTCTTTCCTGCCTTATACCCTGCTCTCCTGTGTCCCCACTCCAGACGAGTTGCGCTACCTCACTCAGGCCAGACTTTCATCTGCGCAACCGGGCCGCCTCCACTTGAGCCTAACCGTAGTTCTGGGGCCCGTGGGCATCACTCTTTTGGTCGGCCACTTGCTCGGCCTTGCCTTCGGATGGAAGCTTGGTGTTGCAGTCACTGTCACCGCAATCCTTTTGGACATCCTCTTTCTTGGTTTGTCTATATTTCCTTGTTCTCATAATGCCTTTTATACATTTGTGTTTTTTACTACTGAACCAGATGCGCCCTGTCGATTGTGCACGACACGATTCTTAGCTCCTAGGGGCTCGGTGGGAGCCCTGAGACTGTACACTTGTAGGGAATTTGTCTTTTTCCTGCCTAGATAACTTTAGTCTATGAAGTTTCAACAAATTGTATGTTGACATTCATTGTTTTTTAGTGTAAAAGCAGTCGCCTGACATTTATAAATAAGTGTTATTTGAAGCAGATTCCAGAACAAATTCTAGCAGGAAAAAGGGGACATTTAATATGTAGTCCAATGAGAATTTTCGCTATCAAGTGACTCATATGCAGACGATTTTAAAGCTATCATTAGTTCTTGAATTAAAGATAGAGTTACTTTAGCACGATTTAAGGATTATAATCGAATTTCTCACGATGAGTAGACGGCCTCACGTGGCCATCGAATATCACTTTTGCTTGCCTCCTCCAAACTGAGCTGTCAGTTTGACCTATCCTTGGTCACCTTAGTCGCCACAACCGGAATCGAAGTTGGATCGTGAGCATCAGGCGACAACTCTGCTATACAATCATTGGTATAAGTGGGCCACTGAATAGACGCGACTTTAAAGGCAAATCAGGCCTCTTCCAACTGAGACTGTAGATTAAGCAAACGTATGTGTTTGCCTTTGCAATCAAAGACGTTACTTAATTTGCATATGAGTAGCTTTCGAGACCAACAATGACTCGTGAATAAACGCTCAGTCACCCTAGGTCTCTTATGCTGATCTATGTACTTATAGATCAGTTTTCCTGCTCTCAGATGAGTATACCTCTCGATGTCATCTAATCTCACTTATCCTTGCTACCTTCATGAGGTCTATTCATCTTAATGTGGGAAAAACTCAACTATCAGTCCTTATTAGGATATGACTTTCTATTTCCAAGGAAAAGTTGGTTGGAAGCAATTCGTGAAATGATCTTACTGGAAACCAAAGAAGGATTGCCGCGGAGTGAAGATTGTTGGATTGTACAAAGAATTCATCAGCTTTGTTCAGCGACACCGAGACAATTTTCACATCCAAAGGGCTTTCTAATCTGATGTTTATACTTGCTGGCTTTTTAAGACACCGGGTAAAACTTTTATATTCAAGAGCAAAAGTTAGCTGGAAGGAATTCGTGAGGTAATCTTACCAGAAGAAGGAGTATTTGGTATCTTTTTATTCGTCCTGACGATGTCTTTTACATGATAAATAAAGCTTAGAACGGGTTTACCATTTTCTAACAATAACGGGTAGAGGACTTCTTTACACATTCCAATAATCCTCATTCCAGTGAAGCCATTTAACGACTTCCTTCCAACCAACTTTTCCTTCGAAATGGAAATTAGTTTAAATCCAGATTTTCTTATATTAGTCCTTAATTCACCTCAAACGACCTAAGTTAACTAAGTTCTTATTTGAGAATTATTGATTGTCCCGAAAACTACTCGTACAGAAATTAAACCAGTTAGCATTTGCCTTATTTGCAGTTAAAATCGACTATATTACTATCTATATACTTAGTAGCTGTCGAAACTGTCAGTTGGGCTCGTATTTAAGAGCTACTGATTTCTCCCACTCGATTTCTGATAGTGCCCTCGATTGTAGTGGCGAATCGGCTTGACTTGTAATTCATAACTGCTCTGTGATCCACTTACGAGCTTGGCTGTGTGGCGGAGTTGTGAATTTGGCGTTTGATGCGCACGGTCTGGTTTCCAAACCATTTTAAGTTGGTGGTGAGTCTCAGACTCCATTGAGTTAGAAACCATCAGTAGAGCCAGGAGAGAGGCAAAGCTGAGTAAAATCTAAGGACATCATAAGGCCTTCCAGTCATTTTTTTGTTGGAAATTCAACTATCAGTTCACATGCATTACCTTAAGTAGTCTAAGATGACTTGGGCTAGTAAATGGAATTCAGTCCAAAAGGACCCTAGTTGAAGCGAAATTGACGTCGTGGAAGTTAAATTCTCTTGTAGAATGCACTTGACATTAACAATTTGGCAGAATAGTGCATCACATCTTCTCATAAAAGTGGAGGCTAGGATTAATGTTCGTGACTAGTAAATGTGACCTCATTCAAACTAATTTGGGTTTGAATGTGCTATTAAACATTTTGAATGACCAAATGACTGTCAGATTAATGAAAATGAAGAGCCAATAAACTGGGATACACTTAATCGTAATGATAATGGGACATTGTGGTTAGAAAAATTTTGGTTCTGAAAGGTAATGCCATTTCCTAGAAAGTAGGGAAGAAATGAAAATGTGGGGCGGGTAGGTTATCTTTCATTTCGGGATATTCTACTAGCAGCTTGTCGTCTTCTACTTACGTCTCTGAAATTAAGATTATGCTAAATGGCGAATGTAAAGCTACCCTGTATCCTCAGTGTCATATATATATGTCTGGGGAATTGTGTGATTTATCCTTGCTACTATCACGAAATATGATAAGTCATAGGCAGTTGAATCCGTGGAGGTTTTGCATTACGCGACATTTTTCTTGTAGGGGGGTATGGTGTGGCAACTTGTGGGACATTTGTGGCTGTTCACTAAAAAGAGAGAGGAATAGCGACATTATTTTGGTCGCTACGCTTCTGACCGTTTTGATAGCTCGCTCTTGTTCCATCCTTAAGAAAAATTATCTCATTTTTATCTATTAAACCAAAAGATAAGCAAATGTCAAAATTGACTACTTTCTGTGGTTACTATACTGCCTTAAACAGTGGCCTCAGGCAATTGAAGGTCATGTCTAGTTTTTCACCCAAAAGGATATAAGAGGCTAATGCAATTGCTCCGCGTATAGAATAAGCGAAATGGCCCTAATTGAGGAGACGCAGTTGGTTTCTCTGGTTTGCATGTGGTTTCAGTGCCAACTAGGCATCACGAACATCTCTTGTCGAAGCAGACGACGAACTGTGTGACTTCACTTCAGGGTTGCACTTATGCATAGCTTGGATACAGTCTAAACACCAATCATCGGCCGTTAAGTGTACATTTTTAGATACTTGTCATTATCATTACTAATATTAATGCGGTAAATTGTACTATTCTCACTACAAAATGAGCCTTCGATTCACTTGGTTAGCTAGAATGCTTGCTATTTTTAGGTGAATTCGACATCAAGTTAATTGTCGAAGTCGGCCAGTTAATGCATCTTTATCAAAAAATATGGCTGAAATGAGAAACATTAAATCGATCACTACCCAGATCACCCCTGAGAGATGTATTTCATGCTGTATAAAAGTCTCCATTACCAGAACGTCTTGTGCATAATTTGTAATTTATTATTCTCTTTTTATCTGACCATTTGCATTACTGTTGATAGCGTCAGGCAATACATGATATTTTAACTCTAGTTATTGCTTTATGGACAAAGTATAGCTTCAAAATGTCGACTTCATTTAAGGTGATTAAGGAATAGTAGTTGAATTTTCCCACTGTCATATGAGTAGGCCTCATGTTTCCATTAAATAATTAAATAATTAAATTTTTTTTAAATAAATAGAAAGGAGTGTATGAATTGTATGTCCTTCTGGACCTTTTGGGTGCGATGCCGCATAAGTAGGCACGTAAATTGTCTAGTCTATTTATATGTCTAAAATTTCTATTCCAGAAAATGTCGCATCATCAACTGCACAACTTAAGTAAAGTTACTGCTTTTGTATCCCCATATTCTTGACATTCTAGCTTTATATTGGGTATTATCGTTGAGAATATAGTTGGCATGCGCCATTTTCATTAGTTTCTAAGATATGTATTAGAAGAGTTAATTTTCTCTTCTGCTGCGTTG